AAGTCATTCGAGGTCAGTTCTGAAAAGGTCGAAGCTACCTACGCGCCTAAAATTACCTAGCGTTTTCTTATGTGCTCGATTATAATTAAATCAGAAGTGGGACTACTCCAATGATGTAACAGCATCCTGACCTGAAGTGCAACTCATTTATCTAAACATAACTACTCGCACTAGGAACCTATGTGAAGCGTCATTCATTATCACGTCTTGTGAAGGCTCTATCTCAGAGGGCTTTCCGTCCGACGAAACCTCGGCGGATAGAGCCTTTATAGTTTAAACACAGTAGTGGAGACAGTGTAACTCCCGGATGTGACGAACTCGGCCGCAAAGTTGCCATGCCTTCAAACTTCGACCATTCTAGTAAAATGACTGTATAAGAGAGTGGGACATGTTTGACAAATCCTTGAATATGAGATAGCACCGATGTATTTACAATAAATAATCTATTAAAGACTACTGAATAATGAAAAATGTGTTGAGGACTTAAGGACACTGAGTTTCTTCATTCTTTCTTATTAAAATTATAATCTATCTGAAGGTAATATCACTTTAGTCATATGCAGTTTATTGCTTTTATCATCAGGTTCACCCACTAAGACTGGATGCCGCTGTTGTGGCTGCCTGTCAAGAACTGGTAGAGCTCACTTCACAACATAGGCAACGATCACCGTCGACCATGGAATCCACCTTCGAAATGTTGATGGGCTCAGGACCAGATACTCCAGTTGAGACCATGGTTACGTATCGAACATTTTTCCTCAAGCACATTTTCCTTAACTGGGATCTTTGGTCCAGGGCAAATGCTATAGCCCAACTGGAACATGTTCAACGTGTGATTTGTTTGGCTCAGTACAAGCCTCGGACTTTTCGGATTGTGATGAACATTCGCACATTACTCGAAGTGCTGGAGACTTACTATGGGTGAGTCATTTTTACGGACAGCCCCGACACCTGATGGCGCTAACTAGGTGCAGGTATGCATTTGATTGAAGCTGCATTGCTGGGTTCCATTATGGTTTTTTAGTTAGAGGTTTTCCATGGTAAGCTTTATCTACGAAAATTGTTTTCAAGTGTGCACTCGCTGAATTAGGATCGATTGTTTATCTATCTCTCCGATTTCTTAACAAAAGCTTTTGATACAACCCTTGTTGTCTTCTTAGGAAAATCTATAAATGTTTCTTGTCAATTAAGCTATTTGTTTTAAGGTAAATGCTTTATTTGTTTAAATAGTTTCATAGAGCACTTTCAAAACAGTAAACCGTGAAGACCAAGTTCGTAATCATTTCAATACGTCACATCAAGTGGGGTTAACAGCAGGAAATGGATATCCAAGTGGTTCAGAAAGGTGAAATAGGCCAGAAACTGGAAACGGGAAAGATTACGAACTTGCATGCTTATCGCTTCCAGCCGTAGTTAGAATGCGATGCTTCGCTACTTTAGATTGCCTGGGTAGAACTTTGTAAGTGTAAGAGTGAGTTATTCCAGCGAGACTGGAAGCATATATATAATTCGCTAAAGCTTCAATACAATGTGACACATTAAAACCCAATACAGTACAAAACGCTCCCATACTTATACTAATTGTTCCAGTTCTCAACCAAGTCGATTGCTGTTCACGAACATGATTGAATAAGCGCCTGATCATGTGGCTGATTTGGCTGAAATTCTTCATTTCGCGATAGTAGTAGAGGATTTGATTCAAGTTTGTGGAGGATTCCATCGTGTAAAGAACACTTAAAGCGTAAGGCTTTATCAACAGAGCCCAACTGGGACTTCAAGCATTGTTTGTTTGTTGGCACAACCATTAGCCATGCATCTTTGTGCGACGGTTAGCTGGACCACCTGACAGCTGATTAGAACGTTTTTATTTTCATTATGCATCATATGCATTTATTTTTATAAGCTTGTCGCGAGCATCGCACCTTGTTCATCACAGCACTACCCTACAGGATTCGGTCCTCATTCGGGCCGATGGATTCGCACAGCTGATGATACCTAACCACTTGGGACATCCATTCAAACTCTCAACAGCTCTCCACATGTCCATNTACTAACTGATATTGCATTTATCCGTCACTATCATTGAAGATAACGGATCTTTTCAGACATTGGTCATGCATTTCGGTGTCGATCAACCGAGTTAACTATCTGAGATGTGTATATTTCATTGAAATTGGCATTCATCACTTCGTGAAAGGTCACATTTTTTGGTGTCAAATATATCGCCTGTATCAGTATTGAATTATGCATTAAAACCGTTCCTCATGAGCTACCACTCCTAGTAATATGGTCAAACTAACGATGCACTCATTATTCACACAATTATTTCAACTTAACTCGAGTTAGTGTTCCACGAATGTACTTGTCACAGAAAGTTGAATCTTCGTTATTGACGCATTTCTTAAAACGATAACTGCATTTTCGCACCCTTGGGTGTCGGTCAAAATCCAACATTCGTAAACATCAATCGTGTATCGATTACGAAAATTAAATATCATGCCGTGTTTTAACACTAACAGCTTGCCTTCGATGATTTTCCATTATTGTCATTTTTCTGTTCTTGTAGAATAAGCTGTCTACTAACTACTTTATATCTGCTGAAAATAATGAAGACACATATAAATAACTCCCGATATATGAGTTATAATTTTTCAACTTGAACTAACAGATCCGACGAACAGAACTATGAACTTTTACAACGGCAGAACTCTCAATGTGCGGGTGATTTTATTGGACTGGTTAAATCTCCCAGATGTATTCAAAGGTCAGAAACGGAAGTTATTCTGATTCATCAAGTCCGTTTGAAAATTTGTGAGATAGTTGAGACGCTACTGGCTCGTCACTGTAACATTGCTGACGTGGTGGAACTTGTCAACTTCTTGTGTCGGTCAGCTTCACCGATCGTTGTGAGTACGAATGGCATCAAACACGCCGCTGTTCTTCCTTTTACCATTTATATGTACTAAGTGTTATTTTGTCTAATATTTTCGTATGATATACGAAATTTGCTCTTCATGGGCCTTGTTTTGCTTAAAGTCTGTCAATTTCATTGTCTCATCCAGAACGTTCGCCTGGAGTTTGAATACATTTATATTGAAAAGAACAACACGGAGTAATCAACGCAAAGCATTCCGTGACTTTTGTTAAGAAAGTCAACCAAAATTTATCCACATTATGGCCAGCTTTCGCCACCCTTCGCCGTCTCCATGAGAGTCCAACAAAGGCTGCCCTATAATATCCCCATTCCTTTTCAACTTTGTCATAGAGATTGTTCTACAGAATGCTTTATCCGGTCTAGCAAACGGTGGAGTCGAACTCCTCCCAGGGAACAGAGTCCTTGACTTACAATATGCCGATGAGATCGCCTAGATGGGTGACAACATATAAGCAGTCCAAGAAGCTTTGAACCGCTTGGTGATCGAGGTATCCAGATATGGTATATGCTTTGCACCTTCCAAGTGCAAAGTGTTTGTTTAAGATTGGCAGGAGCCTGTGCCTGCAATCACCCTCTGTAGTGATCAGCTAGAAGTAATTGATA